ACACACAAAATACATTATACACACACAAAATACATTATACACACACAAAATACATTATACACACACAAAAGAAAAATACACACACACAATATGGTCGCGGGCACTTGCAGTGTCCGATAGCTGACTACAATCACTTTATTATAAGGTTTTAATCAAATACGTGTAACTGCGATTTTGACATGTGGTCGACTTGTACTTGTCGTCGTATTTAACAGTTTTAACTGCGAAATATTTTAAATGACATTTGGAAAGGAATCGAAAGCAAGCTCTTGCGATACTGAAGCGAAAAATCAATAAGAGAAATAATTTTACAATGTTATCTGAAGAAGCGAAGCCGGGGCAAAAAACATTGACCTCGGTCTGAATAATTCTTACTATCATGCTGAACCTCATCCAATAATTGCTTATTATTTTTCTTATTGATTTTTCGCTTCAGTATCGCAAGAGCTTGCTTTTGATTCCTTTCCAAATGTCATTTAAAATATTTCGCAGTTAAAGCTGGTCAATACGATGACAAGTACTAGTCGACCAAATGTTAAAATCGCAGTTACACATATCTGATTAAAACCTTCTAATAAAGCGATAGTAATCAGCTATCCGACACTGCAAGCGCCCGTGATCATATTTTGTGTGTGTATTTTTATTTTGTGTGTGTATAATGTATTTTGTGTGTGTATAATATATTTTGTGTGTGTATAATGTATTTTGTGTTTGTATTTTTATTTTGTATGTGTGTGGTGTATTTTGTGTATGTATTAATACTTTTATTTTGTATAATTCTTATTATTTTGTGTGGTGTCCCTTGTGAGCAACCATACAGAATGATTAAAGCTTTTCCATTTTTAAATGTTATAACGCTGCTAGATTTTTGAATATTGATTTAGAATGATTAAAACAAAAACGTAGATAATATAGAACTTTGGATAGTACTAAATTTGGGAGGATAGCCAGAATAACATTATAAGTTTTCTTTTTTTTTAGGAAGTGAAGCACTTTTATTCCCAGAGCTGCATCTTTGGATGCACGAGGGAGAAGTCAGTAGCAGTAGAAATTTCTAAAAAACCATTAATACAAACGTTGGTAATTACTTTTTTATTGCAGTTCTATATATAAATGTAAACATTTCCACAAAAGGAAATTTTTCTCTAAACACGTGTGAAAAACTGAGATATCGTCAAAAGATATATAGATGACCCTTGTTTTACGATGAAAATAAGAATTTTTAAAGATGTGTAGAAATAGACTTGTGTCAATAAGGGTGCTTGCTTTACACTAAAGAGCAAAAAGTAGTAATTAACAGAATGCAAAAAATTCTATAACCATTATATACCTGTTAAATGTCTTTGGCTAGTTTTTCTCGTTCTACTCTTTTCGTCTACAGTATTGAATAGGATATACAAGGTTTTTACTTTTCAACTACAGATCAACTCTTACCCTTATTATTAAGCACAAAATATTGAGAACACACTTTGTAATAAAAATGAAAAACAAAGTGTTAAAATCGATTACAAAAACTGCCTCTATGTTTACTAACTGACGGCAATAAATTATCATTTATTTACCATCAAACAAATGGAATTGGACAAAACATATTCCTATAAGCCATTTCACACAAATATATGTACTATATTTAAGCTTTCGTGTTAGAAAACTTTATTAAAGCCCTTGCAGCAAATCTTCCCATAAAGGCCATTGCTTCTAAAAATGTTTAACATAGCTTTTAATGCACATTTATTGACGAGCTTTGCATTCATATATAACAACAATACCTGTGCTACTACGACTTTTACCTTGAGGTAATTTTCCTGCAAGATCTGGACGACCAATACTGTTTAAGGCGTTAGCCAATTTTTTCATAGTAGCTTTCTTTCCAGTTTTCGTTTTCCAAACCGAGAGCATATTTATAGCCTTTTCTTTCACGAGTTCATGTTCGGCATCTATGACATCTAAGTCTAAATCAGGTGCCTTCAATTTTTTACCAAGCTCTTTCCAGTTTTCTCTTAGCTCATCAGCAAATATGCTCAACACTAAATAGGCCGTATTCTATGGTGGATTATTGTTCAGGTTGAGATGCAGAAATTCATGACCAAGTAAAAACAGCATAGATGTACTGATATGTACTCACTTAATATAAATCTGCCTGTTCACATCCCGAAAACTGGCAATCAAGAGAGCTAGAGCCATAAAAAATTCGACATTTATTTTCTATATCCGCCATATTGTTTTGTGTGAAATTCGCTAAATTTGCTGGCTCATATTCAAAAGAACGGTGCTAAATAATGATTAAGGATCAATCTTTCTAAGTTAATTTGAAATGATATGTTTAGCTATTAATCTTCCATAGCTGCTTGATGGACAAAAAGACTAAAAAATGAAAAAACAATTCTTGAAATTGAATTGCGAAGGAGTCCTTCATCTTTTTGCGTAAATAATATAACGATAATAAATTGGCACATGAGATTGCGTACTCAGAATCCTTTGGTCGCCATCTAGCTCCTGTTGTACACACTGCTGAGCAGTGCACTCTTAATAGAACATTTCATTGAAATCGTTTATGAAGTTTTCATGTGTATCGTCGGCCTCATCGTAATCGCTATCATCGCACTCATCCGGCTCTTTCATTGGGCCGTCATCTTCAGAGGCGTAGTTACTGCAGTCAGAACAACCGCAAATGTCAGTACATTGCAAACCAGACTTCACGCACGAGCATCGAAGATTCTTGCAACCAGCTTTACACTTGCATGTCACGCACTCAATAAGTGTATCTGGAGCAGATGGTCCAGTCATCCAAAGAATCTCTAACTGACCATTTTTCATGTGCCATCCATGGCTCACAGGAGGTTGAACATTAATGTGCGATTGCAAACTATTCTTCCAGATGGCTGCTTGGTAGTTGGCTCTCTTAATGTGCAAAAGCATGCTATCTGCATTCGGGGGAAGGCATTCGTCCGAACACTTGCCAGACGCAAAGAGAGTGTACCTAGGACCGAAAAAAATACAAAGCAAATGCAAAAAAGACAATAGTAGCAAAAATAACTCTTATCGCCATAAAGAAGACATACAAATTTATTTAAAGAAAGCACTACTTCCTCAGGAAGATCAGATATCGAACCAAGTAATTTAAATGTTTCAATAAACTCAGGGTTATCATGAAGTACCTTCCACGGTTTCCCTTTTCCCGTAAAGACACTCGTATAATCGCAGCCTATGCCGAAAAAAGAAATTATACCAATTGTAGATTATTTGTAGCGCATGAGGCTTTTTACTTTTCACTTTATGGTGATGAAGCCTTGTGTTTTTTCAATTATGCAAAGAAAAAATCACAAGGTTTTATGGATGTTTGCTGAACATATAAATTGTACTCACCTGTGAATGCATGAAATGACTGTAAGCATGGGCACAAATCCTCTCCGAGTCCATCTGATATTGATGTGATATTTATGGCTCGAAATTTTTTGCCAGTTCCCGTCAATAAATAAAGATCTTTACCAAATTGTAGAAAAATTGTAATTGGACATGAATTAGAAAAAAAATTGTTCGTGAGTCCAACAATAGTTATGGCACAGAAGCCAAGATAGTTGTCTGGTATATTGTAGCTTGTCAACCTACTTCGGTAGGCTATACCTCCTAAGTTTATCTCCTCGTAGCTTGTGCTCGTAGGTTGTTCTCGTAGGTTGTACTCAGTGGTGTAAACTACTCATATATATATAATATCTAATGGGAAGTATTGTGGTTTTGTGACATACATCCCATACGCAATACAGTATGTTACAGCAAGATATAGTTAACCATAGTAACAACAAATACGGTTGCGGTTTCAAAATATGTTTACGCATGTAAGCAAGCTTCTAGCGCATACAAGCAAGCTTCTAGATTATGTCTTAATTAGTAATGACATTGCAAAATGGATTTTAAAGTTAAAATATAAAAATATGGAATGCTTAGTAATATAATATAATATAACAGTAGTTTATAAATGATATTACATGATAGTAGTTGCTATCATGTAACAGTGCACCCACAATTTTTGCTATATTGTCATCAGTTTCACAAATAAAACAAGATGGCGACAGGTAAAACTTTAAACGAATATTATGAAACTTTGGAGTACTGAAACTCCAAAGATTGCAATTTCAAGAGATGCAAACAACTTAAATCATATTCAGTCAGTAAAAGTAAGTAGTTTTCTGTGATTTTTATGTAGTCATGAATTTCGGCACTTAGAAATCATTTTTTATCACATTATCTTGACACAGAATACGGCCTAAAACGGTTCAATCATAATTTCAACAACTGGGGCCGACTGCACAAAGCCTGGATAGTGTTATCCATTGGATAGAAATTTTTTAAAATTTTAAAAAACCTTTTAAAAAGCAAAACTATGAAATTCGAACGGAGCAATCACTGAAATAAAATATTGTTTTGACAATTAAGAAACGGCTTTGTCGTAAGAAAAACATAAACACCTTTTTTACAAGTTTGAAATTGATTGCTATCCGATGGATAACGCTATGCAGGCCTCGCGAAACCCATAGATTGCTGACGTATGTGCATGTTATTTCCCACGTGGGCCATCATGAGTATCCAATATGGCGGCGTCAACAAGACAAAACATCTATAGATTGTAGTACGAAAATGAGGTTTTTTGGTACTTTTTGCCGGTGTATTGTATCGAAATTTATGCAATCAAAGTGTCTATGAAAAAGGAACGTACAGCAATTTTTTGAACATATATTTGAGTGAATTCAATAAAAACTCGCGAAATTATCCACCAATAACATTTTGTGTAAACTAGGCACTTGGTCAATTCTTGCATTTTATTGCCAAAAATTTGACCATATGTTGTCATCTAGCTTTTTGAACTTAAATGGTGTATCATGCTATTAAAACAGAGCATTCAGACAATTTTACTGGTTCATTTGTCTGCATCAATTGAACATAAATTATTTGCTAATCAGTTCAATAAAGTTCCAATCAATAAATTGTGCATACGAGGAAAGTTATTTTCATAGTTTACTTTATTTGTGTTCTAAAACGCTGTTACAAACAATTAATACAAACCAATGCAACAAATTTTACAATAAACCCCAGAAAAACCCACTGGATTACACTCATATTAATGTCTACTCAATGATGGATGATTCATTAATTTCTTCTTCATTTTTGTTATAACACACATGGCAACATGTTAAAGCGTAGCGTTTCTCCTTTTGGCAGCAGAACATCGTCAATGTTCCTCTTACATCCTTTCTTCTTGCGACAATATTTGATAAAAGTTTAAGCTTTGGTGTTCTGCATCGTTTGAAACAAAACTCTAAATGCTTCCAGGCATCGGATCCAAATGTCTGATTAATTTTCTTTTTTAGAACATTTTTGTCTTTATCAAAACTTTCTTTATCATCATAATCAACTGAGACGTATAAGTGAAAATGTGGTATCTTTGCATTTGCACGAGCTAATCCATATTCGCAAATCCAAGGTAAACTGTTTAAAAAATGTAAAAAGTTCAGACAAATTCATCACTGCATGGCAAATAATTATTTTATTGTACATCTAAAACAAGTCAACATGAAAGAGAGAAAAGGGGTTCAATAACTGTAGATTGGAAAATTCTTTTCAGTTAATAGTTTGAAAAGTCATATTTGTGTTCGAGGACTTTATACATTCGAGGATTTATTCTTTAATTAGCGAATAAAAGATGTTTACTGCGTTTCCACAGGCTTATGAAAAACAGAGGAGACGTTTAGAAGATCTCGAGAGCAGATCAGTGCAAGCCCGAGACCTAAGTTCGAGGGTTTCGCCCGATCGAGAGTTCTTACCAAAGTCTCAAGGGTATGCATAAGCCGGTGCAAACAAAAAAATCTTTTATTTCTTTTATAAAATAATTTTGCGAAACAGAAAAATCCAAAAAAAAATGTTTTATTTTCCTGTAAAGTTATTCATGATTGATTTGAAAATCCCCTTTTATTGATTGATTGAATTAATAAGTTGAGCTCAGATTGTTTGCTAATGCAAACACGGCTTATGACCCATCACCGCAGGCATTTTATTGTGTTTATTTTACAATTCATCTTAATGTATCAATGGCATCAACTGCATGTATGGTCCCCAGGTCTAAACAAATCATGACAAAAAAAGCTCACCTCCTGAGCTTTTCATGGACATCTTTCCGAATGTTATATTTGTGACCAAGAAACAAATTTTCAAATAAACGATCATCGTCAGAATTATGACAAGGGATGTTCATCAAAGTATCAGTGCAAGAAGTACCATCATCAGAACTTTCATCATAAGAGCTTTCGTCATCAGAACTTTCATAATTGGAACTTTTTTCATCGGAATTTTTACCTTTGGAGCCTTCGACATTAAAAATTAAACTCTGGTCACAGATCGCTTGGTCGTCGGGGCCTTCAACAAAATCAAAACAAATTATTAAATAATGAAATAATAAAATACGTAAATAATAAAAATAAACGTCCTAATATTTATATGAGATATTATGCTAATTATGCATAATGTCATTTCTTAATGTCGAATTTCGGATAAATGCGAATCAATCATGATATAATTTGGATCAGATTTCATGCCAATTAGCAATCCTATAACGTATTGGGAGGCATAATTAACGATTTTCTCTTCACAAAGAAAATATCAAGCATCATAGCACTGAGATGCTTAATGGTATTAAAGAAAGTTTCTTCCATTGACACAGTACATTATAAATTGAATCATTCCTATATGCCTGAGAGCACAGTGACCATTTTTTGAAGAAAGATCCGCAGTGATTCTTTTCAGTTTTAAATGGTAATGATGGTAAAAGCAACGGCCAACAGGTCTTGGAATTTTGAAATTTTCAAGTTGCTAATTATCAAATTCAGGTGATGATAAAGAGAATATGGCTCTCTTAGATTACTCAATGGTTGAATAAGCGAAGCCTGTTTCATGTGTGATATCACTTGAACGGTATTAATATTAGTACCAGATTGATGATCTAACTGTTAGCCATTGTCTAACTGTTATGGTTCGACATTGATCAAAATATTTTACTATAAATCATGAATTATATTCGGCACATGTGAAATGGGACGTCTATATCAAACGCTAAATTTAAGTAGAATATTCGACTGTTTCACTTGCAGATTCGACTGAAATCAAAGTTATTGCTAAACTGTCGAAGTTAATTGATTCAAACGTTGCATTTCACATGCAGATAACTCTCGAGATTTATTCGGCACATGTGAAATGCGACGTTTGAACTGGGCCTCTATCCATAAAAATTTTAAAATGCAGGAGGGCTATAATGTATGACAAACTTTCATAACTATGCGAAATCTATTTAATAATTTGACAATGATTAATAAGCAAGATTAATAAGCTGAATTTCGAAAATGGCATTAAAGAACTGGGGCACTATATTGTTGGAGTTTTAAATCTAGAAACTGAAATTCATTTTGCGAGGCAACAATATATATCGTTCAATTTTAGCTTAAATACCTTTGCAAATTAAAAATTGGAACTCTAAATTGCTTCATCCTTTTAAGTTGGAATTCAAAATTGTAGTGTTTATTTAAGAATTTTCTACAAGTTGACCGTCAGCTATGAAAAACATTAAAAAAATCATAAAGTGTGTGTATATTATTTAAAGATTTTGAATAAAGTTTGTCCAAGAAAAATATAACTAACCTCTTCATAATGAAATTTATTAGATGACAGTTTTGTTTTAAAATAAAGCACAAGAAATGAGAGTAGTTAGAACAACCGCCATTACTGAACATGGTCAAAAAACAGTTTTTATGTTATAATGTAAAATTTTAACTACTTACTGGAATGATTATTCTCCATTACATGCTCTAGGACTTCTTTCCCCCGCCTCACAATTTCTTGTTCTTGGTTTTTCAGACTTTTCCATTCGTCTTCCCATTGTTCCTCCCTCAGCCGTACTTCCCATTGCTCCTACCGTAGTTCTTGACGTACATATTCTGGATGCTCCTACCGTAGTTCTTGAAGTACATTTTCTAGTTGCTCCTCCCGTAGTTCTTGACGTATATCTTTTAGTTGCTCCTTCCGTAGTTCTTGCCGTAGATATTCTAGTTGCTCCTCCTGTAGCTCCTTGACAATTTCCATTGCTAAAGAATTCATTTATAATTCCAACAAGCTTTATTCGAACAATCATCAAAATCTCGGTATTTACTCCCTATGTCAATCTATTAAAGTAAATGTGCCAGGCTAAAACCAAAGACTAAAAACCTCCAATTTATGAGTGAAATAAATGAAAAAAGGCTCTGCATTACAATAATCCTGCAGTTGCAGCTAAAAATGATTAAAGAATCAGGGTCATGCCTTGCACGCTTATTTTAAAATTATCTTCCAAGAACTTTCCCTTGAAGAGTGCAATTCATTGAACTAAAATACATGGAACGCAGTCGCTACCTGTAATAGAAAAGTCTAATAATTTTTTGAAGCCAAATCTTACACCCAGAAACGCAATATTACACCCAGATACGCGGGTGTAATCAATCAATTGTCATCCCGCTAAAGAATCGCAAACACTACACACGCGTGTCTGGGTATGATCTCGCGTGTCTGCGTCTAAAATTTGGCTTAAATTATTTGCTTCGGGTAGCGTCCCATGTATTTTAGTTCAATTGGTCTCTGCATGGAGAGTACAATACATCTATTCAAAGCCCACTTTCTTTAACTTATTCTACAATGATTTTACGTCCTTTGGTTACGTGGTTCTGTCTCTTTCATTTACTTCACTGTATATTTGTTGAAATATTTTCTTCCAAGTTACGTAATCTTGTATACTTACCGGTAGTAGTTATATTATACATTCTTACAGTGGTAGAAATCTAAGATTAAGAATACTACTTTTACTTAATTTAAACTTGTCTTTTACACTGTACACGGATCTCTAGACACAGTGTTTATTGAAAACTGCCATTTTCGTGGTCAAATACAACGGCCAACGAAGCTTGCAAAGCATGACTCTGTCACTCATTCTTTAACCCTTTAAGTCCCAGTGTCCGATATGGTTAGCACTATTTTCCACCCAGCAAACCGCCCTTTACTTTACACAATCGGAAATAAATTAAAGATGGCGGCTAATGGGAAAGAACCAAAAGCTAAAAGGAAACCATGCATGCACTGGTGCTAGGTCGTTTTGAGATGGCGAGTAATTTTATATTTTTATAATACAGTTTTTAATATCAACATATGAAAATATTTACAGATAAATGTTGCAGTATAAATTTTCATGCAACCACCTTAAGTTATAAACTTATAATCCAGGCTGGAAAATATGTCGTTTTTCGACGATTGTGTAAAATATTATATAAAATATTATATTGTGTAAAATATTAGATTGTGTAAAATATTATATTGTGTAAAATATTATATTTCAAAGTAAAGGGCGGTTTGCTGGGTGGAAAATAGTGCTAACCGTCCGATATATCGGACACCACGTGCCAGCGCTTCTTTTGCCCAGCTAACTCATAAACAAAAGCCGGACATGCGCTTTAAAGTACACCATTCGATTAAGGAGGTGTTTGCGAGCATTTTGATATATAGTTTGTCTACGAAACTAGTTTTGAGCGATTTTTTGTGAAGTTTTTAATCTTGCCCTTTAAATTTTGTTTTGGAAAGACATAAACAATGGCGGATAAACCCAACAGCATGACATTGAACGAAGTTGTAGACGTCCTAGAGCAAGATTATGGTATTTCTTATGATGGAGTGTGCTCGGATATTGATTGCGAGCTTTCTGCCTTTTCGAAACCTGATGTTGAAGGTCTGTCTTCTTTGCAAGATGAACAAGTAGAAATCCTCAGCAACGTACATGATGTCGACCTAATTGAAACTGATGAGGAAGAGGAAACGGTCGCTCAGTCTGGCAAAATACTGGCATACAACTTTTCAAACACTAAATGGTCGAACGATGAATACGAGGGAGAAATACGACGTGGTGCTTTTACACAAGATGTTGGTCCTGCTACTATTCTTCCAGAAGGATTGTCTTCGGAAGGGCAATCTGTCTTTCGATTCAAAGGACCCATTACTGCGGTAACATGGATGGACAACCGTGTTGTGAATATGGTTTCATCTCAAGCAATACCATCTGATACTGCTACAATTGCAATAAAGCGATGAAAGAAGGATGGCAATACAGACGATGCTCAAATACCATTGTATTATACAATGGGTGGAGTTGGCGGGAATGACCAGATGAAATCATATTATGGTATCAACTGTAGGTGGAAGAAATGGTGGCTGAGAATATTTTTTGAACTACTGCACAGATGCATTGTAAAGAGTCACATCCTGGAAAGGCTGTCACCAAACCATAACATGAGGAGTTCAAAGAATTTCCGCCTAGAAGTCTCCAAACTTCTTATTGGGGAGTTTTCTTCTCAGACACATGTTGTTCGACCAGCTATTGAATCACCTGCTAGATTTCGGGATAGACATTTTCCCAGCATACTTCCATCCAACAGCAAAGGAAAGACTAAGGAAAGAAGGTGCAAAGTATGTTCCACAAAAGAAAAACCGAAAAGGACTTCCTATTTCTGTGAAGACTGCAACATGGGACTATGTGTAGCACCTTGCTCTAAAATTTTCCACACCAGGCAGTAGTTTTTCCGACAGAATTGTTGGTAAATATAAGCATGGTATTAAAAATTACACATTTTATGCAATAAAACCCTAAGTTAGTGCAACTTATAAGTTTGTTCAAGCTCATAGATAGTTTTGAAATTATTTTTCATTTTATTGCTATATTTGCTGGCACGGTACGATTGCAATTTTCCAATTATTTGAGCTTTCTAGTGTCTAAATAAGAAAAGTTATACATCATCTGAAAGCTTATAATACAGGCTTTTTTGTGAGCAGTAGTAAGCAATTACATCTAAAGAATATTCCGAGAACTTTATCTTTACATTGAATGTTTTAGTTTGAAAATATTATCACTTCGGCAATTGACACCTTGTGTCGCCATGGAAACGATTTTTATCCTATTTTTAACACTACAATTAAATTCTTCATTATATTAGCTTTAAATTGATATATGATTTGTATGTAGTTTAGTAAATGTTGGCTTTTATTATAACTTTATTTTGTTATTGTTCGCTAATTCATTTTTTCTCTAAAATAAACTTGGGACTTAAAGGGTTAAGTAATGATTTGTAATACACAGCGCATTTACGGGTTGTATAATGTTGACGATACAATTAAATAATGATGTATTACCTTCAAGTGGCTGTTGGCACTTCTTTTCTGTCCCGTAACGATGGTCTACAACAACATAAAAGCAAGATGAGATTTATATTTCCATGGAGAATAATTCCACAAACGCTGAAATTTTTTATGATTTACCATTTCTATACAATAATGCCATGTTTTCGCCAGCATGATGAACGATGCGTAATGAATCGTCAAAAATTTCCGAGTCATACCTGTGTTTTTCAGGATTATAGGCAACATGAATTTTTCGGTTTCAACAAAATAAGCCTCAATCACCAGCTTTGATTTGTCAAAGAAAAAACCTGTGACACTGTTGGAGACGGGAGTATAAATGACTTGATTGTATGAATTAATGCACTCAGAAACCAATTTTATTTGTGAACGGAAATGGAACACGGACACGTGCATTCCACCACCAAATAAGGCGTTATCATAACCGCATCACCCGCGTGGCTGTTAGTAAATAATGGTGGCAGAAGACAGCAAATTCGATCGGCACCGCGCTGTTTCTCTTTTGCAAAACGCAAGGAAATTGATTGCTGTAGCTGAAGATTTTGATGCTGGAGAATATGCCAACCTCGATAGTAGAGCACAAGTTGTTTCTTCGTCTTCAGATGTGGCACATTCACGTCATACACAATCGTATTCGTCTCCATTGATAATGCAATCGTCGAGAGTAAACAACTCACAACGCATTTTGGGCAATTTCCGAAACATTTTTTCTTTTTTCTCCATACCGAGACAGAAGAAGAAGTGTAAGCTCGGATAACCCATCTACCTTTTCCCAGCCCAAACGCAGAAAACAAACTCAAAAGGCTACACCATACAACAAACGGGAAAGCTGGACGCACATCTTTTCCTGTTTGACCAACTGTAAGCAAAATACTGCTCCTAGCTTGGAGCTCAAACAGCAACTTCAAGGAGCAGTGCTGGGGAAGAGAAAAATTACTTTTCAAGCTAAAGCAAATTCTCTTGATCTGAATATTAAGCTGGAAGCTGTGTATCCTAAATTGAAAGATAGTGGAGTATTTGACATCTTAAGACGTGGTGTGCAAGCCAGTGAGTTGATCATGATAAAACCACCTCGGTCTGGATATAGTGTGCCATATTTACGCGATATAGGAGGACTTGGACAGGCTGTTGCTTTCATAAGACTAATCCAATGCAATTTAAATGCGACACCTTCCGAAATTATTGACTCACGCGAAGTGAGTATTTTTTAATGTTTATTTATGAAAAAAGAGAAAGAAGTGCATATTTGTTGTTGATTAGTTTTTAGGCAAAACAAACAACTTATTCAATAAGTTAGTTTATGTATTTGTGTCATGTGTTTCATTGCTAATTTTTCATATTTGCCTTGTTCGTCAGGAAGATTGTGATCCTGCACCCACAGTCACGTGTTTTAACTGTAAACTTAATGTAGCTGTCAACAATATCAGGGAGCATCAAGAAAGCTGTGGTGATGATGAGGAATTGTATGTACTATTTTTTATGTTAAAAATTTTAGCCTTGTCAATTAAAGATATTATAAGATAAAGATATTGTTTTAAAGAAAATATAGCATACCTTGCTGTCATTGTTTATAAATGTATTTTAAAGCCTGTTTGCTTTACAGGAAAAACCGTTAAACATTGTGTACACTGTAAAGTGCGAAGATTGCAATGAAACCATGACAGTGGCTCAAACTAATGAACATGCATGCATTTGTTATGGCAAGACAACTGACTCTTGTGAAAAGGATAAAGAAAGGTAGATTTTGGTGTAACTAGTGGCAGAGACTAAGAAGATGGCAGTTGTCCCCTCCCCCTTTAATTTTTTTTTAAAAATTTTAACCATCTTTAAAAAACACAAGAACGTTTTCATTTCAGAAGTTTACATATTAAATACAGTAATAAGCATGTAATTTAGCTAAAGGCGGCAACTCAGAGTTTAGGTTTACCCTGCAATGAAGTACATTGTCCGAATTTATGGTGTGTATTTGGAACATTCTGAAAATGTCAAAGTCTTATTAGTAATATTTTCTTGTGTGGTAGCATCAAGTTACTAAAAAAAATGACATATTTCATCACTAGTGAAGACAAGTGTTTTTGCCAAAAATATTTTTTAAAGAAAGCTTCTTTTGTTAGAGGCTTAGATGGTATGGTTAGAATTAATTTTTATGTTTTACCAAACATGATACTGTTACTGTATCATTTATCAGCGCATATTTTTTATATGCATATTTTCTAGAAGCTGGTAATTTACCATTTATTAAGATTTGTTAGTATTTAGTCATTAAGGCTTGACTTATTTTAATAAACAAGCATTTGAACCTCGTTGTTCAGGAATATTTCATATTATTACTGGAATCGCTTTTGCCTGTCGCTTCCCACATTTTGTCAAGTGTCCGCCACTGGGTATAACCTTGTGCTGCAGCAATTATCCTGATATGAAAATACCTTTAACTATCATAATTTCTAACATAAATCATGTTGCCCACTCTTATGCTACATTCTTGTGCTATTGTTCAAATGTTAGAAAATTTTAATTGTGATTTTTCAATCATTTTTTTCGTTAGGGAAAGTTATGGATCAGTTGCAGAGATGAGTAGTCCCCCTATTTCTGGAACAGGTTATGATAATTAGATATGATTTTGAAATTTTATCAAGTCAGTGAAACTGTCTGAAATATTTTAGCGTCCATTAATACGTCAATTTATTTACTTATATTAGCTGTGGATGCGATAAAACTATCTTTCCCTGGCATACTTTATCTAAAATTTTGTCAGCCCTTGAGATGACCAATGGTAGTACTGACGAAGCAGTGGAACTACTTTTGCATGGTTTGTTAATGAATTTCGTTTACATTTGAATAAGATGAAGGCATTGTCTTTTGTGCGCATTTGTATACATTATATGTGTGTTTTTTTGACTTAGGTGATAACTCGGAATCAACAATAGGTATTGTCAACTGTCTAGACGATGTGCTTCGGTCTTTACGCCCAACGAGTAAAGTTCCAAAGAGGCTATGTGTTGCGCGAGAGTCTATCTTCGAGGACAGCATTGCCTTTTTTAAAGAGCGTAATTTTGATTTTTCAAAGCCTATTAAAATTACGTTTGAGAGAGAACCTGCTGTAGATGGAGGAGGACCTCTTAGAGAATATTTCACCATTTTGCTGAGAGGGTTGTTGTCGTCATCTGCCTGTGTACGTCTTTTCGAGGGGCGTGATCATTGTTTTCTTCCCATTCATAAATGACGCGTTGCGTTCGAATCTTTTTAAAGTAGCTGGAAGAATGGTTGCTTCATCAATTATGAATGGAGGTCCTGGTTTGCCTATATTTTCGCATGCAGTTTATCTGTATTTCCAGCACGGGAACCCAGATGAAATTGGTCAGCACATCAGAAAAGACGACGTCGTCGATCAAAGGTAAAAGTATTTTACTATAGGGTTGATCGTTTTTTCTTTTTGTGCTGAGAACAACGGCGTAAAACATTTAATAAGACAGTTCTGGCGCACGTCTTTTTGTAAGTTTCAACAATGATAATTTGATTTAGCTTGCTTGCGTGACTTGATTTTACAACTGAAATGTCTGTAGCAAACTTCTCCCTTGCACGTTAGCACAAAGCAGTTATGCGTCCGCCGGTTCTCTATGGGACTGTATACTATCTAAAGCAAGCGCGCAGTCAAACACAATTCTCAAAATGTCATCAATTAAATTTTCTAGTCAAAGATATACATCAATTCCAATTCATGCTCCTTACTCGTTCAAGGCATCAACAAAAGACAATGCCGTCACAGAATAGATAACGTAACAGAAGGGCCTCTTAGCGAAAAATGCGGTCCTAAATTTTAATGCGCATGCGCTACTTCCGCCATGTTGGCAGCAAGATAAACTTGCTACACTAAATAAGGGTAGCAATGTACAACTCAAAAATCTTGGCGTTATTACTTGAAAAGTTGAAACATTTATCTTGAGACGACCAAATAAAAGCTGTGGTAAATAAAGGCAATCAAGACCTACCCTCAGCATCGTGCGGAAATGGGAACATACAATCAACATATTTTTATGCTTTTTCATGTACAACCAATGTGTACAATTCTATCGAGACCTGTATGAGAAATGCTGTGCCGTGGCCGTGTGGTCAAGGTTATTCGTATTTATTTATTTGTAAAGAACGGAAGCGTAGAAGCGCTTAACGAACGTTATCAGCTGTTCATATTGAAAATATTGTTGGTACCTATGTCGATAACAATGTTTTATTTGCAGTTGACCCTTGCATGCGTATCAGCACTTTATCTCCTTCCTCAAAGTGAATGAAACTGTCGCGAAAATCATTTGCCAATTTATTGTATACTATCTTTAATTCATAATTAAATACATCCATAAAATGCATTCCATTTTGGCGTTCCCCGACATCTACAACTATATACAAAGCTGATTTAATTATTGCTTCCATCACCATTAGAGTTGCGTTCCAAGAAAAGTGAAATATCTAAAGATTATAACGTTTTTTTAAAGCTACGAAAGCAATGAACAGCAATGACAAAGTTTAACCAAACAGTGGATAATACGTGGGAAGAAACGAACTTTACAAAGTTATAAACTGACTCACCAGACCACAAGACCAAGGCGTTACGCAAGTGTTGCTTTGCAATCCAATTTAGATTGCAAATGCGTATACATATCACACAAATAACCATTGTAGTCATTGTGTTGATCTGAACTAATACATTATTCGTGCAAATGTTTAGCAGTGACAATTTTTGTTCGCAGAGAACATCAATATCCCGACAATATGACAATGATCTGGAATTAAAATTTGAAAAAAAATGACAGTTATTGATATACAAGAAATAGAATATCACGCAAACAACCATTGTTCTTTAATAATTTATCTGTTTCTCAATTTTATCGCTGATTGCAAAGTTCAAAACCATACTGCTGGTGACTTTGTTGAATTTAAATTGGACGGGATGTTACTGAAGCTATTTTTTTTTATCAAACTCGTTGTCATTGTTCTAAAAATCGTATATAATATGCGAGACACCCTGTCTCCAAAAATTGCTAATCTTTGAAATCAGTCGACGTCTGGAATTTACATGATTTAGGCCCATTTTAAGCGTTGCTTTTTAGATGTGTTGAATGTATTTAAAACAAAAGATAATGAGGAATTTTTGACTCATGTAAAATGCGACGTTCGAAACAGGCCTTATAGAAATAATTAACCCAAAAACCTAAAAACGCAGTTGAAAGCAATAATGCCTACAAATAACCATTCAGCAGCGGGGATCCATGCAGCGTTCGTCAAAATAAATTATAAGTGCTCAATTTTTAATTCAAAGTACTTCCAGAAAAACGCTTTTGGTTTTAAATTTCTAAAGAGTGTAGTTTTACCAACGGACTTATCTCTAAGGGTTTGGAAATGTAAATATATTTCAAATTGTTCTGCAGTGCTTTATATTGACGTACCCATGATCTGTCGCGGCAAATTACAGATACTGTGTATTGCAAACTTCAAGCATGAAATTCATTTCAGTTCCAATTACGATTCTTTGGAGTAAAATTATTCATGAATCATGCAAGTTCTAAATGTCGGCTGATATCAAAGATGAGCAGTTTATTTGAGATACCTGGTATATATACGTTAAATTTGTACAAGCCCTTTTATTTTGCTTTGAAATGAAGAATATCACAAAAAAGGACATTGTGCAAATCAATAATAATGAAAAAAAACATATAGGATATTTTAACAATTGGAGGTGTGCGAGCATTCCTATGAGAGTGAGAGAATAATGCAATTTGTGCCATGTTGGATGACATTTTTGCATTGTAAATAAAGAAAATCCTTTGTTAAAATTATTCAACATGGCGGCCAAGACTTAACTTGCTCATCAAAAGTCCAAAAACATGTGTTAACATATTTACAAAATTTAAGGGTGCCATGCCAATAATGAAGAAATGAATAATACTGTCTCGACGTGTTGCTATGTCTCAAGTTTTAGTACTGCTACCTGAATTTCAGAACATTATCATCATGTTGCAGTGAGTAAGCGATGAAAATTTTTCAAAGCAAAACTAAATAATCAGAATGGATACGCATTCGCCTCTGGCAGATACACATACGTGACACTAAAGTTTACAATTATTTTCCAGGCACTATAGTAAACATTGTTTTTGCATTATAAAAGATCAGCGATATTGTACAATTCGCAATCAACCAGTATATCATACAGCAATCCAACAGTTGATTTATTCTTGGATTCCCATCGAGATATCACTTCCTCAGCAGGATTTTCAGACTTCGTAAATTTGCGGAAGTCAATTATTGTCACGTCCATAACGCGGTGCCTTGCAAACGTTTCCCAATAGTTTTCCACTGTGAACGATAGAAAATTCGTTAATAATGATTATACATATTGGCAAATTTAACAAAACATATTAAATACGCAAAGAATAAAGACAATTAGAAACTGTTTCAATAAATCCACCAATATATAAGTCACATGTCTCAAATCTGATTTAAATTTTATTTTACTCTGCATTGAACAATTTTTCTCATAAATTTAAACGTTGTTGAAGATGCATTACGTATGTGTTATCTAAATATATAATTTTAAATGGTTGAGTAACATATTAAGCAACAACTTGTGCTTGATCTTTTGCAAGTCTATTCCTCCTCTGTTGAAAAAAATTCTATGATATCATTATTCATGAATATGGAATAAGCTAGCGTTGCGGTTAGAATCAGATATCAACTGATGGCAAATTTTCAATGTACCAATTAACAGCACATGTCACACTCAGTTACAATTTCACTTACAATTCAAACGTATCGAGACCTCCCTTCGAATGCCAAAGTTCATTTTCTCAGTTTTTTCTTCGTCATCACAATTTAAAGGACCTATGTAAGTTTAAATGACACAAAAAATCAAATGGATATTTTTGTAGGGTTTAAAAAAGCATCATTTCACTTTGCACTAAAAATCTTTCTTTTGCTGTAGATATGTCATAGCTGCAGTAACATAATGTTCACATCTACATAATTTGCTTTAGTCTTTATACCCGTGCTGCCGACAGGAAATTTTTTTCTCATCCAAAGGACAACATCCTTAAATTGATCTTTCCTTCGAAACTCCCGAAACAGAAACCTGATTTTCTTTTCCTTCAATTTAGCCATTAAGTCAGCACTGTTATGCACGTAATATTGCACCTCCAACATGTTTGTAGCAATTTCTGAGAGAACGTCAACATGAAATCGGTTTAATCTCTCTATTAACGCGTCTTTTAAATGTTCCGGTAGGTCCCTGACTAATTTTAGAGCTATATAATAGAGGATATTAAAGTTACATGATCAAAACAGTTATCATAGACCGATCAGATTACATGGACAAAGCCAAAACCCTCCTACCAGACACCACCACCTACGAACTTCTTCGCGCCAATCCCAGCAAAAAGACCACCAACCGCGTCAACCAGAAACTGAAACAACTAAAAGACAAAAAGAAACTAACCGAAAACGACCAATGACGCATCCACCACCAAATATTATGGACTACCAAAAATCCACAAAGAAAACAACCCGTTTCGACCTATCGTATCGCTTCCAGGATCACCTACGTATGAACTTTCAAAATATCTTTGTAGCATTCTCTATCCATTACTAAAAAATTCACCTCATACCATCAAAAATGCCGCCAATTTCTTCGCCAGTATTGAAAACATCAAACTACGACCAGACGAAATCGTGCTTTCCTACGACGTGACATCACTCTTCACATCCATACCACTAGACATAGCCAAACAAATTACGAACGAACTACTCACAAACGACAAATTTTGGCAAGCTACAACACAACTAGACAAAAATGATATCCTAGACTTACTCAACCTTTGCCTCTCAACTGAATTCGCCCTCTAAAATATAATACAGACAAATTTCAGGCACAAAAATGGGGTCACAACTATCCACCTTCCTCGCTTCAATTCTTTCAATGAAGCACTTCGTCCATCCCTGTCATACCATGTTTTAAGCACAAATTTTGTGGGATTCTTAAAATGTTTTTCTGAAACGATGTGTATCTTTTCTGGTGGAAGTTTCAGTACTTTGTAAAGGCTTGAAAATGAAGCAATTTTAGAATATAGTTCAGCAGTACGCCAGCGTAATCATTTGTGTAAAGTAGTAATAAACTCAAATATCATACAGGTAAGGTTGAATTTAAATTTTAAGTTATTTTAAGGTGATTACCTTCTCCAGTCTTTCTCTAATACCTCATTGCCTTTATTTAAACGTTCTTCCAACTTTCTCAGAACATGATTAGGTAATTCACAGTAGGTTGTTTGTAGATTATACACGGTGGATGACTGGTTGTTCACAAAATCATTGGCAGACACTGTTTCCGTAAATATGGGAACATAAAGTGGAAAATGCATAGCCTATGTCAAACGAGTGTACTTGATAGCGAAGAAGCGTCTTCTATAGCTCGCCCCCCACCCATGAGAAATTTGTCACCCCTTGACGTCGGTTCATGCAGGCTATTATTGCAGATGTGAGGAATGTTGTGAAATTATTTATAGTAATATCTCGTTTATTACCAAAACTCTTTACCTGAAATTATGCATATTATCATATAATGTGTCTCAAAGAACATAAATGTGGGAATATAAACTAAAAATGGTAGGCTGTATTAGAATTGAAAAATGTTATCGAGTTATTCATGGTAATATTTCGATTGTTACCAGAAATCTCAACCTGAAAATTAATCCCTAAATCATATCTGGTATCTCAATGAACATAAAATATCAGTTAACAAGTTCTCCAAGCCTCTATTTTTTATTTTGTAATGACTTACCGGATGGCTGCGATTTGATAGAAGTAGTGGCCGATGAGCTAGCTTTTAAAGACTTGGGTTCTAAAACAATAGAAACTGTTTTTTCAATTAGCCTTTTTCACGCAGTCTCTTAATGACTTATGGCACCAAATTCATTAATACAATATTTGACGTGCCTGCATTCGAATAAATGGTTTCTAAAATAAATAAACATTTTAATTGAACATTTATTACCAATGCTTACACTATTAATTTTTAAACCCTAATTAACTCAATGAAAAATAAAAAGCTTTTGGGTTAGAGACCCACTGCAAACCTTGACAAAGGCTTTTAAATGTAGGCAACATTTTAGGTTTGTAGAATTATCTACAGATGAAGAATATATATTGTATCAATTTTGAAATATAATGTGTCTACTATAATAACTATATAAATATGGAAACATAAAGTTGAAAATGCAAAGGTCGTATAAGAGTTAAAGAATGTTATCGAGTTATTCATTTCGATTGTAACAAAAATCGGGACAATATTTAGGTCTGTAAAATAGAGTTGTCTTAGTGTTTATGCATACATATTTACAGTAAAAATATATATTGTATTAATTTCGAGATATGACTTATTTTCTATAATAAATATATATGCTGGGTAACTATTTTAACGAATACGCTTAAATTATTCCAAGTTGCTTATTTAAGTAAAGAACAGTCCATGTTTATCAAATATTGTTTCATTAATCTTTTGTATACAAACTTTGTCCGAATTAAGTCATTTTACACGTTGTATCTACTGTATTCTACATATACAATAACTCCTTTGTTAGAAAGTGTGTATATGGTTGGATTGATTGGATTTTAACAAGCATTGTGCAATGTGATTATATTTCTTGAATTATAGTTACAAAGTTCATAGTTTGCTTCTTAATGCTTTAGGTAAAATTTGAAAACGGACAATTTTTTTAATTCAGTGTAATCAAAAAATCAATTTCTCTATTTTCATATTTAAAAAACGTTAATCATCATCTAAAAACAGTGCCACCAGCCAGAGGCGAAAATAGAACGCTTAATTGGGGGATAAATATTACTATATTTAGCTCTGCTCTGCTGACTTCTTTTGAAATTAACATCGCAAACAAAGGAAATCAGCAGGGAAGAGCTTAATAAGTGAATATATACACCCCCAGCCTTCAATTAACGTTCTATTCTCGCCCCTGCCACCAACAACGATTCAAGTGATCAGGAATGCTGGTTCATATAAAATCATAATCTTATCAAAGCATAATTTTTTTGGGCAGCCACCGCGCATGCGCAGCTAACCACTATGTTACTGCAAAATTTCGTGTGTAGGTTTTATGTCCGGTAAGCCCCCCAAAATACTGCCAATTTTGTTACTACTAGCGAAAATTCAAATCATCAAGATAAACAGCTAGTCAATCAATGAAATTAGTGTTTCAAAAAAGTCATATATTTTAAACATAATTTATGTACCAGGCATGGATTACAAAGGTTACATGAAGGCGATAAAACATGACTCAACTGAATTTAAAGTTCAAAGAAGTATTATCAATGATTTTATTGTGCTCTAAGTATACAAATTTGAATCTAATAGCTTCAACTGTCCAAGTAATGTAACCAAATTTTCAAATCGCTTAAATATCAATAAGTTTACTTATTTGTGATTGTATATAACCTGATTCAAGAAAGCATAAAATTTGAAATAAAAGTGTACAATTTAATGTTTTTAATAATAAATGTTGAGAAAAAACAAAATCTTATCATAACAAAATCTAATCATGAAAATGTTAAATATAATGTAATTTAAAATATGGTCCTATTCTGATGTTTAATCGCAATCACCCGATGGTGTCAAAACAGTTTCGAACTATTAATTTTATAAATATTGCAAATTCTCATCTTGAGCTAAGACACTTTTTGTGCGTCTAACCTGCCGCAATTGACCTCACTGCCACTCCACTTCTTTCAGGCTTTCTGCGCCTCTTGTTTTACAGGCTACCCACATGTACGCAATGCGTACCTATTTTATTCTTGTTTCCTTTCAAGTTATTAAATCTTGTATGGTACAGCTAGGGTAAGCATGACTGACAATCGTTCTCAGCACTATGCTTAAAACTAGCACCATCGTGTTTTACATAGCTAATTCAAATCAATATTAATAAAGAAGCAACTTAATATCTGTCTGCTCGGTCAGTCTGTACTTTCTCTGCTTATGTTAATCATAAACCATGCAAAAGCTCATGTATGCCTGTCATGAAATATTGATCTTTACAATATTGCAGCAATCTATAAAAATTACGATTGTTGTTTTCGAAAAATTACGTGATTAAATACGAAACCACTAAATGGATTTTGTAGCTATGTTTATTCTGTTTTTCGTTGACAATAGAAACGAGTACAGCAAAGACAATCTTTTTCACTTTTGTAGTTTCCACTATGAAAAACCCTTTATGGAGTGAAGTCATTAAAAACTCAAAATAAAACGTTGTTGTATGATCAACAATATTTTGCTTATGTATATAAATCGCCATTTTTACTGTGTTTTTAAGCTTCGCAGCATAGTTATCTTTTCTGCTCACTACATGGCTGTGTCTGCCATTAATAGCATAGCCAGCCTGCAGATTTTCAACTACTTTGTAAATTATGAAAGATGACCATTATTCATTTCATTACAAATCTATTTTTCTTGACACGCAGTCAGTGAACACAGCAATATTTGCATATCGTGAGTTAATAGCTGGACCGGCACGATACTGCCCGCTAACGTGCTACTCGATTGGCTTAAACGACATTGTTTACCAAATATAAAACTAGTTTCAATCCTTTACTTCGCGAATTTCTCAAAAAGTTTGCACACATTTTTCTTTCATGATTGTTGCACATCTGCTACACTGCCAAGTAAAGGGTTAATTTAGTGAGCGAGCCATTCAAGTTAACCGTGTCGTATTTAAAGACGTCTATCGCACAATCTATATACTTTGTTTACAATATTAAATTATTCATAGCCTAGCGTTGGCTGACAGAAATAGAATCTGTCATTCGTTCTTGCAGTCTGTACAGTTTCGAATGTTGTAATTGCATTTTGCAAAACAGTATTAATATCATTTTCGAAAAGATTATTGTAAACAAAAATGTTAGATCCGCCCCTCTTCAGTTTTGTATTATGGCTTTTAACCCATCGGTTATTCCAAACTTTTGGCCTTTTCATATGCTCACTAGAATTTTACTCTTTATAAAGTAGCTCTACAACTTTATAAATGTATTCTACGATCCAAAAACTCAGCTAAGGTCAATGATATTACAGCACAACAACAACCGCATAAATAACGCAAAAATACAATATACTGTATAAACTTCATAGTACATAAGCATAATGATGTAATCACAAATTTGTTGTCTATACAGTATGTCGTTTCTGTAAGGTTGTAGTGTATGTTTAGAATTTGCACATTTTTGCGATGACTTACCTGATGGCTCCGAATTGATTGATGTAGTATATGATAGGCTTGCATTCGAAGATGTGAATTCTATAATAGAACATACATTTCAGCACTCATCAAATAGATATAAAGAAGTGGAATGGATGATCAAATATATCTGAAACTGAGTTAGTATATGAGATGTTGTACTCCTAGATACTCTATCATTTATTTTACTTCTCCATATTTTTACTTATATTTATGAGGAGATTACTGAATTGCAATATAGTTGTACAGTACAGTACTGCCTATGGACAAGACTTAAACACTTTTTTGAAGTTGCAGGTAAATGCTAGTTGATGTCATGAAATAAGTATAGACAATCATCTGATTCAAAATATAGTTGGAACATAATAAAAAATGAGCCAGTAAAAAAGTAATTTAAAATGTCCAAGATTTATCGGTGAAATACAACGATTATTTCGTGTCAGAAGAAAATAAATTTTGTATAACCTTTAATATCATCAATGTAATTCCCATTTTGATCAAAACAATCACAGGTCTCGCAATTTTCTTTTCCAAATAACTCTTTTAAAGCTATATCTAGCTTGAAGCATAAATAGAATTTATACGTGGGGCTTTCAGGTTTTTGTTTAAGGTCACGGCACCATTCTGCAACACCATATCCAAAAGCTTGTTCTTTGCCATTTTCATCAACAAAATATACAAGCACACCAGACTCGCCGTTTTCAAGGAACGTTTCAGGACATTTCACCAAAACACCATCAGTAATTTCAAATCCCTCCTGACGAGCATAATAAGAAAAGGCAATTTCGACAATTTCCCCCTCTCTCTGCTCCTTTCCGTATTTTTTAACTTTAACTGGACCTGCTTTTATGAATTGTTTATTTAGATCAGTGCATACCTCCTTCAAAGAACGTTCTTTTCTTCCATTTTTTCTGCAGTTTACTGGAGCATTTTCATTGACCTCTATTGCAATAATGTCTGCATTGCTTTGTAAAATATAGTTACTGAAATTTCCTAATCGTATTTCCTGATTTTCTGAAGGATTGTAGAAATACTTGTTTGAATTCAAATGTAATTTAACATGATTTGGGTTATTTTGATTTTTGCTGAGTATTTCAAAAAATTCGTGGTCACTATTTTCTTCATCTTTCTTGAAATAACAAACATGACAACATGTCAGGGCGTAACGTTTACCATTTTGGCAACAGAACATCGTCAATGTTCCTCTTGCATCCTTTCTTCTTACGACAATATCTGACAGCAGTTGAAGCTTTGGTGTTGTCGGTCGTTTTAAACGAAATTCAAAATGCATCCAAGCATTTGATCCGAATTTCTTATCAATTTCCGTTTTCAGAACATCTTCAGCCTTCTCCAAACTTTCTTCGTCATAATCAACTGAGACATACAAGTGAAAATGTGGTATCTTCGCATTTGCACGAGCTAATCCATACTCTCCGCAAATCCAGCGTAAACTGTATAAGAAAATATAAAAAGTTCAGATAAAGTAACCATGAATAAATAAATGAATTAGCGCCTTGTATAGTATTATCAGTAATAATTATGTTATGAATCTAAAACAAGTGAGATTCAAGAGAAAAAGGGGATTGTGAAACTGTTGCAACGTATGAATATTTTTTAGTTCTTCAGTCAAAAATATCTTTGAATATTTTCATTACTTTATAAGTTTGAAGAGTTGCAATTTTTTGCAAACTCTTGTTTTTTATCAAGCTATTTATAAATTTTTCCTCATGCATAAGATGCCCAGTCCCTAGACTTGAATGAATCGTGGTGAAAAAGTTTCACCTTCTCAGCTTATCGTGGATATCTTTTCGAATGTTATATTCGTCATCAAGAAATATATTTTTAAATAAACGATCATCATCCCTAGAACTTCCAAAATTAGAACTGTTCCCATTGAAGCGGTTGTGAATGGAACCTCCTTCATTGGAGCTCTCGTGATTGGAGCTTTCATTAATAGAACTATCATCACAGATCACTTGGTAGTTAGGACCTTTACAAAAATAAAAAAAAATATCACATAATGAAAAATGTAAATACATAAACAAAAGTAATACCATTTAAATGAGGAAAAAAAATATAGACATAAAGCCATCTACCAGCAGTATAACGAATCGTTGAATTCGTGATTTAAAAAGCGCATGCGTTGCAGAATTAATGTTTTTCTCTTTGGATAGAAACTATCAAGCTTAACCGCACTGTAGTCAGTATGAAATTGTAGTATTACACAAAGTTCCTTCATTTGATGCCACAGGTTATAAAAAGAATCAGTTTCTTACGATTGAGTGTAAATTAAACATTTGTTGAAGAAAAATTTGTGTTAATTGCTTTCACTTTCAATTGGATTTAGCTCTCTTGTATTACTTAAGTGTTGGATCCTGTTGGAGCCCATTTCTTGGATCACATTACGTGAAGTGTTCAGTAACAGACTCATAAATTAACAGGTAGCAAGTTAGGGAGCATCTTTGAATGCGGGAGAGGTATATGGGTTCTGGCCTATTTGCAGAGCAGCATGGCTTGGACATTGGTTAAAAATCGAAATAATAGTCTGGACCTAGATTTTCTTACGGGAATGCATGCACGTTCAACATAATATCAACTTTACTGACCAAATATAAAGTGGTGTATTTCTCCATCAGATGTTTTCCCAAAATTCTTCTATTGTACTAATTAAGTTTTTAGTCTTATTGCTGGCCAATATTTCATAAACATGGGACGCTTTTAGGCTTTGAGGGCAAAAGCTACATTGCTTGTTAATAAATCCGTGTTTTACAAATACGCAGAATTCATCTCTAATAAGAACCATACACTCTTAATCCAATTGGGCTATGACTGACATATTAGCTGCAGATTAGTTTAGGGAGAGATTTTACGTATTGTAGAAAAAGTCATATTCAGAAGACCTGTACTTGTTTCTTTATCCGTTATGTTATAGGTAAGTTGTTTCCAACGCTTTGCTTAAAGTAATTTTGCTTAATAACGCACCTATCTCACGTCACTCCCTGGCAAAAAAACACACATAGCTTTCCACGCAGTTTTTAAGATCCTTATTTTGAAATTTTTCATACACTATTTAGGTAAGACAATTCTGCTCATTTTTATAGGTACAAACATAACAATAAATAAAGGTTTTCTCTCAGAAAAAGTTGTCAAAATTGAAGTGACAAAGCACTCTAATCTATTTTGAATTATCCAAGAAAACTTTATCAACATTTGTACCATATATATATAAGTTTGAAAATTTGTAATCCAGGCATTTAATACATAAATGATAAAAGTTTCTCCGGATTTTAAGTGAGTTTTATTGAGCTTTCGACTCGTTGCTTCGAGCCTTCATCAGAATGAGGATATTTATTTACACGTGCTTTTAGATTGGAGACGTTTAGAGCGTCTAAATAGATGAGTGGGTGGATAAATGTGATTGGATGGGGTGAAATGCGTTGCCATGGGTTTTGGTGTATTGTGAATATGATTGGTGTTAATAATATTACAATGTTGTGTTTTAGTTTTTGTGTTGTTTGTAGTTTTTACTTCCTTTTTCTTTAGTGGTGAGTATATGATGGGTATGTCGATATGTCTGTTTATTGTGTCGTTATCTTTACTGTACCAAGCTTCTTTAAATTCGTGTGCGTGTTTAGTCAGTGCGCGTCCGAGTACTTTAGTTTCTGTCCAGTCGAATGTGTGGTTGTTTCTGTGGGTATGTTCTGCCGGTAGTGAGTTCGGATCTCGTCGTTTTATGGCGTTTTTGTGTTCTGTAAGTCTTGTTTCAATTTTCTTAGATGTTTGTCCTATGTATTGCTTTGAACAGTCTTTACATGGTATTATGTAGATCGCGTCAGTTGTATCATGAATTGTTGTTTTGTCTTTATGTTTGGTGAAAACATAACTAAAAGACAAAACAACTAAAAGACAAAAAGAAACTAATAGACAAAAAGAAACTAAACGAAAACGACTACAGAAGAATCCGACCCAATGACGCATCCACCGCCAAATTCTACGGACTACCAAAAATCCACAAAGAAAACAACCCACTTCGACCTATCGTATCGCTTCCAGGATCACCTACGTATGAACTTTCAAAATATCTTTATAACATTCTGTATCCATTAGTCAAAAATTCAAATCACACCATCAGAAATGCCACCACTTTCCTCGCCAGTATTAAAAACATTAAACTTCGACCAGACGAAATCATGATATCCTACGACGTGACATCACTCTTCAAATCCATACCACTGGACATCGCCAAACAAATTACAAACGAACTACTCACAAACGACAAAACTTGGCAAGCTACAACACAACTAGACAAAAATGACATCCTACACTTACTCAACCTTTGCCTCTCCACTGAATTCACCTTCCAAAACACATACTACAGACAAATTTCAGGCTCACCAATGGAATCACCACTATGCACCTTCCTCGCAGAAGCTGTCATGCAACACCTCGAAACACAATCAGTCACAAACAACACAAACATCAGATTATGGAAAAGATATGTCGACGACATCTTTGCCATAGTCAAGAAAGACAAAACTGAACAAATCCTACACCACAAACAATACCACAAAGAACATTAACTTTACTAAAGACGAAGAGCACGACAAACAACTTACCTTCCTTGACATCCTACTAACCAGAACAGATGACGGTACACTAAACACACAAGTATACCGCAAAACCACCCACACAGACCAAATACTCGATTTCAACAGCAATCATCCAACACAACACAAAATAAGCTGCATTCGAACACCTTTCAACAGGATAAACACTCATTGTAATACGGAAGAAGCCAAAAAAACAGAACGCAACTACTTATACTCCACATTTATTAAAAACAATTACCCTAGAAACTTCATAAACAAAACTATATACAAAATACAAAACAAAAAACAAACCACAAAAGCAACAAAAAACCGGACGAAACAGTAAAAATCGTCACATCACCATACCTAAACGGAACATCAGAAATGACTGCCAGACTTCTTCGACCATTTAATATTAACATCGCCCACAAACCTACACAAAAACTCAAATCATGTTTCACCAAAGATAAAGACAAAACAACAATTCATGATACAACTGACGCGATCTACATGATACCCTGTAAAGACTTTTCAAAGCAATACATAGGACAAACATCTAAGAAAATTGAAACAAGACTCACAGAACACAAAAACGCCATAACACGACGAGATCCGAGGTCAGAACACAAAAACGCCATAACACGACGAGATCCTAACTCACTACCGGCAGAACATACCCACGGAAACAACCACACATTCGACTGGACAGAAACTAAAGTACTCGGACGCGCACAGACTAAACACGCACGCAAATTTAAAGAAGCTTGGTACAGTAAAGACAACGACACAATAAACAGACACGTCGACATACCCATCATATACTCACAACTAAAGAAAAAGGACATAAAAACTACAAACAACACCAAAACTAAAACACTACATTATAATATTATTAACACCAATCATATTCACAATACACCAAAACCCATGGCAACGCATTTCACCCCATCCAATCACATTTATCCACCCACTCATCTAATTAGACGCTCTAAAAGTCTCCAAGCTAAAAGCACGTGTAAATAAATATCCTCATTCTGATGAAGGCTCGAAGCAACGAGCCTCTTTTATCCAGGAATATTATCCATAATAATATATACACTTTTGTATATATACTTTGTATATTACGCTCACTGCGCGTGGGTAGTTTGAGCACTGTCGGATTGTGTAGAGAGCCTCATATGGAGACGTTCACCGTGTTCGCGATATGCAAATCTCACCTTTATAGGTGTGAGCACTGTGCTGACTCTACAATACAATCCATACAATGTGACCGTACGTCCTGTGTCCCAAGTGCAGGAGTCACCATTTTACTATGGTGATGGCCGGGAGGGCACATTGTTATACACTTTGTATATATATATATATATATAAAAGATAAACGTTTCTCCGGATTTTTAAATGATTTTTTATTGAGCTTTCGACTCGTAATAAAAACTCGACTCGTAATTTTTCGACTCGTAATCTTTTTCATTTAAAAATCCGGAGAAACATTTATCTTTTATGTATTCAATGCCTGGATTACAAATTTTCAAACTTATATATATATATATATATAGATAGATAAACTGCCAGTTATATAATAATTCAGGTTAGGTACACTCTTTATATCTCTTAATTTACTACAGCTGTGGCCATGACGATGCAACAAATCTGGAAATAAATAACTGGTAGGAAGGATTAGAGTAAAAAGCAAACAAGCGAAGTAAAAATGGATCCATGAATTAAGATGAGTTATGAGAAACATATGTATGATGAAGGTACAGGTTTGTATAAAAAAATCATTTAAGAATTAATCAATACTAACCAGCCAGTCCGATATTCATAGAATAAACAAAAAGTAAATGCTCAGGCTACCTTTCTTTTCGTCCAAACTCCTATCACTAACTTCATCCACAATGTCTTTCTCGACTTGATCAGGGAGCTTAACATCCAAATCCCTTTCTATTTCATAAGCTAAGCCTCCCTGTTTACACTCAATTAATGCCAGGATCAGCGCTTTTACATTGGCCTGTTTTCCATCTCTGTCAATCCAGGTTTTCAACACATATTTTGTCCCGTTTTCAAAGGATTTTTCAGCAATGCTTTTTACTTTACCCAGTGGTAAGTTCAATACTTTGCATAGGCTTTAAAAAAAGAAAAATTTTTATTTGAACTTAGAATAAATAAACTTTAGCTTCATATCATAGCATTTTATTAAATAAATATACACAAAAAAGGGTATTTATTTGATTATTTGAGAGAGGTTACGTTTTGTCTCACTTTACAAGATATCATCAGACAATATTTACATACAAGTCGTAAGGAATATTTATATAATAAGTATTTAAGGAACATTAAATTACATGGTAGGATGAAAGATGGGACAGTATGATGGGATAAATCGGTATTACCAACGGGAATTGGGGATTACATGAAAGATACAAAAAACACACACAATAAAACAAAACGAACATAACAAAACATTGTCTGTGTCTTGTTAGTTATTTAACAAAACGCTGCTGTTTTTCAAACAAATACTCCTTTTTTCATAGACATTGTTTCCTTTGATGGCTGTTTGAACAGCACAGGGCTCGGCTTTAATATGTATTTTTAAATGAGTTAGAAGTGGTTGACAAAAAAGTAGCCCCCTATAAAAATGACAGGTTTACTTAAAGACATCAATAGATGTACATTCTTAATGTTCTCTCGAAAATAATGTGAATTTTATATATGCAACAATATATTTGTGCACTTAATAAAGCTTTTATTAAATCCAAGCGACTTAATAAAGCCAACGAACACCACTTCCTTTAGCAAAATTTTAATTATCAATGATCCCAAATAAAAACACTGTGCTTCTAACAGTGTCCCTTAATATTTCCTCAATATTTTTCTTTTAGTTGTGTGATTAAAGACCAAACTGGCAGCTGCCGTTTATTTTCAAAATTGCGCTTCATTTTAAAAATTTCTTGAAAGTGACAAGCTAACGACTTATGACGATCACATTGTATGGGAGGATCCTTTTTTGTCCCTACAACCAAATAAGACTTTGTTTCCTTTGAAAATCACCTTCTCCAGTCATTCTCTAATATCTCACTTCCTTTATTTAAACGTTCTTCCAACTTTTCTCGAACATTTTCTGGTAATTCTGAAACAGTTGTCCCTAGATTGTACTTTGTTGATGTCTGCTCAACCACCTGAATATCTACACATTCCTGATAGGATTTTCTCTCATCAATTAGTTCACTTGGTACATTATCTAAAAAGTGAGCAAGGCCAATAGTTTCAACTTTGAAATGTGTATGGGGCAAATTTATTTCTACGAAATAAGATTGAGCAAATTTGCATCTTATGAAAATGTGTTTGGCGATTTTCCAATTATGGAACTGAACAAGGGACCATTTTATACTATTATTTATCGATTTATTGATTTTTCGTTTTCAAAATCAATTCCATATTACTTTGGTCTCTTTTTTCGCAAAATTGTAATAATTATGCATGTTTACATGCCCCAGCTGGTCACACGTATTCATGCTTTTACCTGGTTTCTGTGATACATTGGACTTTTCTTGTGGTGCATATTGTTCCTATATAAATTATTGCTGCAATGTTAAATTTTCATAGACTTCATACAAAATGACAATCGGAAAAAACACCATCTAACATTTAAATGAGCACTAAGCATCGTTAGCCAAAAGAAATGAATATAACTGGAATGGAACTTGTATACTTTGGCTAAGTGATTGGTTGAAGACAAGAAGTCCCTAACAAATTATGGACGTCGATGAGTAACAAATAACACAAATTATATAGTTTAGGTGTAAACAAAACTTTAATAACCTTCAACGAATGTTTATTGACAAACAGACATTAACTCAACGTCATTTAGGACTACACCTCAAACTCTAAAATAAGATTGATAATTGTGTGGGGTACACATATTAACATGTTATAATTTGTAATCACAATTGATTTCAGTAGAGACCAATAAAGTATACTATCCATATTTGAATATTACCTCCCCTCCTCCAAAATTATCAACATTTTGCAGCCATTTGACAAGTTTTATGAATTTCTTTAATGATGTTTACAACTATTTTGTTTTTAAAAAACGCCAGAAGAGAAAGACTAGTCAATAACGATAGAACTGGGACAATATAGTCAAAAAAACCTTGAATGACAAAGATGAGGCAACCGATGTTTTGTATTAAAAGCAATTTCTTGCATTTAGTTTTTTTAACATATTATATGAACAGCGGTCGATCCAGTTCATGGCATATTAAAACTAACTGCTTTTTCTTTCTTATTTGATTTTGTAATAAATATTCTATTCCAATGTTTCAAATTTTTACAATGATGGTAAAGGTCAACAAATTATTTTAGTAGCAAAAGGCTCTTATTCTATAAAAACTGATTTGTCATGTATCAGCAGAGCACATGCTAGCAATGTTTTTTATTGAAATAAATAATTATTGAACTGATACATTCTTTTGCCCTTCCATCATTGATATTTTAAATAATTTGTACTTCTATAATCATTATCGCTAAGTAGCTTCAATATAAGTAAAATAACATATTTAGAAGTTCTTAAACATTTAAGTTTGCTTACACATATTGTATTGACTTCGAATGATGTGTTATATAAGACGCATATGCTTCAAAGTTAATTGAAATTTTACTTTCTTGCACGTCTCATAGACATAAGCAACTCTTTTGTGATGTGTTGTAAGTGCACAGCATGTTGAAAAAAGAGTATTTATTTGTAGAAATACTTATGTGACATAGACATATAAATAGAACAAAAAAGATGCAAAAGAAACATTAAAAATAACTACCCAACACAAAACAGATTCATTTCTTAAAATTGAAAGTTTTATAGCTTGCAACAAAAAATATCGGCTTTTTTCTCAAAATATCTTGACATAAAAAATAAAAAAACTATTATTACAACAGCTTACCCAAATTCCAGAATCGCAACTGGCTTTAGAAGTAATAGAAAGTCTGTTGCCTGTAAAAGATACATTCAAAAAAGTAGTGCTGCGCCCGTTAATCATGCATTTATTCATATAATGACCTATGCAATTAAGCTGTTATCAACAAGACCTCTTGTTAATTTACCTGGTTTCTTTGGCGAGGTGGAATGTCCATGTAATGCAAAAGTTTTCTAAACAAATTATAGTTGGAACGTTAAATTGTACCAGACTTGATGAAAATTGACAGATAAACAATACAAATTTACATTTAAATATGCATTTAACAAAAGTGGCCAAAAGAAATAAATATAACAAGAATATTAACTTTTATACTTTATTGTCGTGATTTTTCGAAGCCAGGCTCCCACAAAAAAAATAAAATATATTCCAAGAGATTAAACATTTATGTTTGCTTACACATATTGTATTGACTTGGAATGATGAGTTAAATAAGACACACATGCTTCAAAGTTAGTTGAAAAGTTTACTTTCTTACACGTCTCATAGACTTAAGAAACTCTAGTATGTTGATTACTTTATAAATATAAATTTTGTAAAATAATGTTATGTAATTCCAGTTTATTTATTTCTGTTATTGAAAAAGTAAAAAGCAGTAGATTATACGTATATATATCGCTAAAATGTCATGAGAAGTCCTATACAACACCTCTTAGATTGGTTAAACTATGAAGTCTTACACATGTCTTATTTGACTTTCAACATTAAAAATGAAGTACTTGATTGCTCGATTTTTTTATCAGAAAAATAGAAGGTTTCAAATAAGGATTACCGTTATTGAACTCCGAGGACTGTCGACGCCCTATCAAGTATAAAAAATGAAATATTGATTGTTACTGGATGTTTGATGTTCAAAAACAACAATATCAACTTTAAGAATTTTACGGTTTGTCATTTAAAAGACGTATTTGATAATTTCTAAAACAATTTTGATTTTGCAGAGCTGTTGGTTGATAAACATTTGGGTGGATAAACATGTCGAATTAACTTCAGAAATCCTTCTTTTCCGCTCTATACGACATGCATATATGAATAGGAGCCCCCAAATCATTGATGTTTGACGGTCTCCTTTAGTTTGATGATTTTTAAATAGAAAAGCTTCAAAAGCCGAAAAAGTTGTTACTTTTCTGACTATTTCCACAGTTTTTAATAGAATGGGACTTGGAAACAAAATTTAAAAATTGCAGTGGAAATATATTTTCCAACCAAAAAATAAGATTTTGCTGTGAAAGTAGTTGCATCTTACGTAATAATGGCTCAATGATAGATCGTGTTGTGTTGTGTTGTAAGTGCACAGCATGTTGAAAAAAGAGTATTTATTTGTAGAAATGCTTATGTGACATAGACATATAAATAGAACAAAAAGATGCAAAAGAAACATTAAAAATAACTGCCCAACACAAAACAGATTCATTTCTTAAAATTGAAAGTTTTATTGCTTGCAACAAAAAATATTGGCTTTTTTTCAAAATATCTTGACATAAAATATAAAAAAAACTATTATTACAAGAGCTTACCCAAATTCCAGAATCGCAACTGGCTTTAGAAGTAATAGAAAGTCTGTTGCCTGTAAAAGATACATTCAAAAAAGTAGTGCTGCGCCCGTTAATCATGCATATATTCATATAATGACCTATGCAATTAAGCTGTTATCAACAAGACCTCTTGTTAATTTACCTGGTTTCTTTGGCGAAGTTGAATGTCCATGTAATGCAAAAGTTTTCTAAACAAGTTATAGTTGGAACGTTAAATTGTACCAGACTTGATGAAAATTGACAGATAAACAATACAAATTTACATTTAAATATGTATTTAACAAAAGTGGCCAAAAGAAATAAATATAACAAGAATATTAACTTTTATACTTTATTGTCGTGATTGTTCGAAGCCAACTTCCCACAAAAAGAGAAAAATATATTCCAAAAGAATATAATTAACTTATCTTTCATTAATACACAACATGTTGTTTTTTCTGTTCAAATAAAAATTTGATTCGGTCAAATAGAAATAACACAAAAACTTTAACAACCAGGAAGGAACATTTTTTAACCAACAGAACATTTTTGGGACTACAACTCAAACTCTAATTATATATAAGAAATTGTGTATTTTTAATACAAATGCTTATTTCGTTGAATTTTTTACAAAATTATCTTTGACAGTAGCTACAAATTTCTCGCTTTGTTTTCCTTCTTGTAGCAAAACAGCGTAGCAAAACAACTTTCATTTTCAGGTTTCATTTGCGTAGGTTGCTTTACGATGCTTAACTGCGCTTGAAATCAATTTGAACTACCACCTTTTAGTGTGAAATAATTTCTCCATTCAGCGAACTTTACCAAAGTTAAGCTTTTAGTCATTTTAAAAATGCATTTGATGCAATGCATTCTACTCTCATTTAAAGTAAAATTATTTGATTTGTTCTCAAAAACCATCAAATAAATCAACATATTTTTTTAAACATATTTCTTACTTTATACGCTCGCATGAAATCCGTAAAAACCTGCAGAGCATGTGACAAAGACATTTATCAAGAATAAAGCATTGAAAGATGCATAACAAATAAAAATGACTTCCCAACACGAAAAGGATTTATATCTGAAAATTGAAAGTATTATAGTAACAAAAAATGCTCTTTTTCCAAAATACCTTGGAATAAAATATGAAAAAATCATGATCACAAGAGCTTACCAAAATCCCAGAATCGTGACTGGTTTCAGATGTAGTAGAACTTTTTTCGCTGCCTATAAATTGTACATTCAAAAATTAGTGCTGCGCCCGTTAATCAAGCACATATACATATATTGAACATTATGTTACATTGTCAAACCTTAAAAGCTCAAATAAAAGATCAATATTGTGAATATTTATTACAAATGAGAGTACTTAGGATTTTCGAATTGACTCTAGTAGCCCATAACAATATATATATTTTTTGTTTATCAGTCCAAAGTGATATTTTTTTATTTCCAGCAATTTGATTGGTTGCTTGAGCGGGCCGCTTTTACAATATTTACCTATAGGTCCAAAGTGATATTTTTTCACATTGTATTTGTGTACGAAGTGAAGTGTAAATTTTTAAAATTGATTTAAAAGCGGTGTAAATTGTTGAACGAGTAGGTAAAGTGTATTCAGATGCAAGTTATCATTGCAAGAGCGAATTTTACTATCCTGACAAAGTTTGTAGAAAACAATCCAATTTTAATCTCAACATCAAGTTTTATCGGACATTCGGCCATTTTGCAACGAAAACTTCTTATTATGAAAATAAAAAAATAAATATGTTATTCACCGTTTACGTCGGTAGGTACCCCAAAAATATTTCCAGTTTTACGCTTTTGAGGCCTTGTGAAAATATTTTTTCTGTACGTACCTACCAGGCAGTATATATATATATATATATATATATATATATATAAGTTTGAAAATTTGTAATCCAGGCATTTAATAAATGAAAGATAAAAGTTTCTCCGGATTTAAAGTGAGTTTTAATGAGCTTTCGACTCGTTGCTTCGAGCCTTCATCAGAATGAAAATATTTATTTACACGTGCTTTTAGCTTGGAGACGTTTAGAGCGTCTAATTGGAGTGGGTGGGTTAATGTGATTGGATGGGGTGAAATGCGTTGCCATGGGTTTTGGTGTATTGTGAGTATGATTGGTGTTAATAATATTAGAGTGTAGTGTTTTAGTTTTGGTGTTGTTTGTAGTTTTTATGTCCTTTTCCTTTAGTTGTGAGTATATGATGGGTATGTCGATATGTCTGTTTATTGTGTCGTTGTCTTTACTGTACCAAGCTTCTTTAAATTCGCGTGCGTGTTTAGTCTGTGCGCGTCCGAGTACTTTAGTTTCTGTCCAGTCGAATGTGTGGTTGTTTCCGTGGGTATGTTCTGCCGGTAGTGAGTTCGGATCTCGTCGTTTTATGGCGTTTTTGTGTTCTGTGAGTCTTGTTTCAATTTTCTTAGATGTTTGTCCTATGTATTGCTTTGAACAGTCTTTACATGGTATTATGTAGATCGCGTCAGTTGTATCATGAATTGTTGTTTTGTCTTTATGTTTGGTGAAACATGATTTGAGTTTTTGTGTAGGTTTGTGGGCGACGTTAATATTAAATGGTCGAAGAAGTCTGGCAGTCATTTCTGATGTTCCGTTTATGTATGGCAATGTTACGATTTTTACTGTTTCGTCCGGTTTTTTGTCGACATACCCATCATATACTCACAACTAAAGGAAAAGGACATAAAAACTACAAACAACACCAAAACTAAAACACTACACTCTAATATTATTAACACCAATCATGCTCACAATACACCAAAACCCATGGCAACGCATTTCACCCCATCCAATCACATTAACCCACCCACTCCTCCAATTAGACGCTCTAAACGTCTCCAAGCTAAAAAGCACGTGTAAATAAATATTTTTCATTCTGATGAAGGCTCGAAGCAACGAGTCGAAAGCTCATTAAAACTCACTTTAAATCCGGAGAAACTTTTATCTTTCATTTATTAAATGCCTGGATTACAAATTTTCAAACTTATATATATATATACATGGATTGTATATGCAATGCTCACCTATAGAGGTTTGAGCGCTCTGGTGACTCCACAATACAATCCATACAATGTGTAACCGTATGTCCTGTGTCCCAAGTGCAGGAGTCACCATTTTACTACGGTGATAGCCGGGAGGGCACATTGTATATACACTTTGTATATTACGCTCACTGCGCGTGCGTAGTTTGAGCACTGTCGGATTGTGAAGAGAGTCTCATAAAGAAACGTTCACCGCATTCGCTTTATGCAATGCTCACCTATATAGGTTTGAGCGTTCTGGTGACTCTACAATACAATCCATACAATGTGTAACCGTATGTCCTGTGTCCCAAGTGCAGGAGTCACCATTTTAATATGGTGATAGCCGGGAGGGCACATTTTATATACACTTTGTATATTACGCTCACTGCGCGTGCGTAGTTTGAGCCACTGGTAAATTTCTGCGCTGAACTTTCTAATGTGTTACAAACGAACCGTAAGACAACGTCATAAAGAATTTGCTGGTAAACATATAAACGAATTTTCTGTTGAAAAATGAAGAGCATTCCGGCTATACATTTTAAGTCTCTTCTTGCTAACATTCCTATTTCACGTACACGTTAGAATAAGCGGTTAAAATGTTGAAATATAGAAAATGCAAATTAATAACAATTCAAATATTTCTTCACGTAAATAAGTCAAAGTTTATATTGCTCAGTTTACAACTTAATAAGACATATTTACCTTCGATAGACAAAATAGCCGGCCACAAATGGACGAATATCAAGAGTCTTGACTTAGCCAAACAAAAATTAATTGGCGGAAGTCACTTCTTCGTTCAACAAAAAGGGAAAATTTCGTCAACGCTTAAATTCACTTAGTCTGTAAATCAAAATTTTAACAAATGTTACAATTCAACTATTTCAACACAAACGCTAAATCACATTTGTAAAATTTGTCGTTAATACAATGTTTTTGTACAACTGCGTAGCTAGTTCCGTCATATAAACATTACACGTAGAAATAACAATAATATACTTACATCTATAGCTACCTACTTGTGTCAATTCTGCTGAAATACTGCAAGAAACAAGTTACAATGTTGAAACTTTATTCCCAAACCTGTTCTGAGCAGTACAAAGCATTTAAGAAATGCTCAAGCCTTGAAGCTGTTTGTAAAGCTGTATATAATCGTGTTCACTGACCATGAAAACAATTGATTTCAGACAAAATGATAAAGTAAATAATATTCCCACATTTTTAGAATTGCAATGGAAATTTTTCACCAAATTAATAGTAAGTGCATCTAAAGAATTTACTTCATGTTTGATGAAAATACTTACATGGTCCCCCTTCTAAAAAAGTATGCTTCACTGAAATCTGAAATTTGGTTTGAAAAATTGTGTTGTCGCTGCTGTGACATTTTTGGTAATTCAATTAAGTAAAATGTGCATTAGTATAACTTTCTGGTCGGCCAAATAACATATCAAAATACAAATTTAAAGGAAAGTTACATCTATAAAAGTAGACATAAAGGTAGACATAAAGGTAGACATAAACAAAGTTATATATTAAGGTATACACAAACGTAAGAACATTAAAAAATTACCTCACTCATATGAAATGACGACTTAATCAATTGTTGTCTCTTATGAAATAACAACTATTGGAAATGTTGTTTTTGTTGTCTATTCGTGCTTCATGTCGTTCATGTCGTCTTTTTTTAATGGTCACTTATTACGTCTTTTTGAAATCATGTAAAGTACTAACATTTTATAAGTAGCTATAATTGAAATAGTTGTGTGAGCCTTAACGATTTACCTTGGATTTTTTATCAAATGTTTTATTAATTACAATAACAAAGAAACAGAAGCGGAAATATCAGTACATGCCAGAGGATAACGAAACAAAATACTGATCTGTTCAAACAGGCGCTCCGGAAATCGCATAGAGATGATTCAAAAGAGCACAATAGTTAGCAGAATATGGCTGAGTTTACAAAATTGAATATTTTCTTCCATATTTTTGTCACAAACTAAGTCGATCTTTTAGGAAAATATTTATTACAACACAAGCATACTTCCACATTAAAAATACCAATATCAAGAAACAGAACCAGTTTCAAAAATAGGAATCAGCATTAGGAGCCTCTTTGTCGATTTCATTCAAGGTTTTAAAAAGATAAATGCAAAATATCTCGTGATTTATGAAAGAAAAACGTTTAAACAACTTAATAATACTGGCTTTTAAAGAGGATCTCACAGACAGCATTTATTTGAACAGTGTACTAGACACTTGGGCCAGGGTTAAGATGCACAAAATTTGATAAAGCTAACAAGAAAAAAACTTGTTTGTGGATAAATATCGTCCAGATTAGTAAAGTCCTGAGAAGCACTGTTGGCATTGATGCAGAATGACGTTTCGACAACCTCAGCGGTAGTCATCTTCAGAGTTAAGTGAGGAGTAAACGTCTGGTTAGCCGTGTTTGTTATCTGGCCCTTGCGTCATCGTATTGTGTGTACAGAAAATGTGTGGATTTCAATGAGGTATTTGCCGGTTGCCAGTTTCTTTTATATTTGCGTGGTTTTTGCAATGCTTTATGCGGTTTTCGCAATGCATTCTGGGATCGCCAGAGGGCTATTATTATATATATTTATAAAAACAACATTTCCTAAAAAGTCACTACTAATACGAAGGTTTGTTTTAATCATTTTCTGGTGGTTATATACCGAAAGTTCTCCCAATCCAACTTTGTATCTAATAGGATACTACCAAAAGAAACCAATAAACGACTACCGCCGAAAAATAGAAGCAAATAAAATATTCCGAAAAGAAGGAGACGAAAAATTCTGTGTGAAGGCATCACTGAGAAAAGCTTTGAGCATGAGAACGAAGCATATTGTGCAGCTAAAGTCAATGTTCCCGAGCAGTGTACTGAGCCAGAGTCAGATCGCCATCGTATTCCACAAATTAATTGTACAATAGATTTTGATGTTGCATGTTATGAGTCTGATAATAGCAATAGCTTTGAAAAGAATGAACATGAACTCGTTCACTGTTATTGCCAGGGCAATGTTAAAACGTTGAAAAGAAATTATCTATTGAAGAAGCCATTTTTCAAAAGAATTGCTACCGCTACACTGAATTGTCACTAGAAAATGGAACTTAGTTTTCAGTTTGATTAAAGAGAAAGCAAAGAGTCTAAGGTATCGGAGAGGTTCTACTGATACAGCCACCACCCAGCCTATTAAAAGAATGCATGTCTCAAGAGTATTGACATATTGGGAAGAATTCACTCTTACTCTTGTCAGGACACGAAAAGGATTTTATATCATGTTTTTGACTGATACATTTTCTGTTCAGCTAGTCATGTTTCCCGGATTTATACGAAATGGGTTAAATTCCAGTGTAACGAGCTGTCATTCTTTGTGCCTTGGCCAAGTAAGTCTGATATCAAAGAGAAACTACCTAAGCGATTTAAGAAATTTAAAAACTTAAGGATAGTTATAGATTGCACAGAATTTTTTAAGCTAAAACCTAAGATACCTGAGAGCCAAAAAATACCTTGGAGCAGCTATAAGCATTGGAACACTGCTAAACTATTAGTTGGCATTACACCAACTGATTTTTTTCCTTCATCTCACCCCTTTGAACTGGTTCAATATCTGAAAAGGAAATTGTCGCCAACTCTGGTCTCATAAACTCGCTGGGAAAAGGTGATGGTATCATATCTGATTATGGGGTTCCTTGTTAGAGATCTACTTGTGGTGTAGAAATTTAACCTTATTTCTCCAGCCTATTGTCGTGGACCTAGACTTTCCTCTGGTGGAACAGCTCATACTCAGCGTGTTGCATGATTAAGATCTTATGTAGAAAGGAATATAATGAAACTAAAGCAATTTCATATTGTATCAAGAGTTATTCCATTGACATTAAAACCAGTTTTTGAAAACATTTTGTTTCTGTGTGCCACACTATGTAATTTGGGAAAGCGTTGCATAAAGTAATCCTTACATAATGTGAAATAAATTATATTGAATGTTTTTATTTGGAAAACTATTATTTGTAAATATAAAATTTTATCATTACACATATTTCAATAAAAGACTACTAATAGTATAATTCTTATAGAAAAGAAACACAGTTTTAAATACATCACTCCAGAAATCAGCATTAAATGGTATTTCTATTATATCTATTCCTTTCACTGTAAATACAATAAAATCACATTTGTTGATTTTATTTATAGCCATACCCATTTAGACTTGAAAGTAATGTAAATGGTTCCTGTTTAACACTTTCTTTCCACTATCATTAGTTTTCCCACCAATAGCTGTTGAGAAAAATGCAGATTTGGGATAAATATTCTTGCATGTTGGAGGTCACTTAATTTCAAGTGTCCTTGAACAACAGCATTCACATTGGCATATTCCATCCAAACTCACTCACATCCATAAATGTTTGTGGTCAACAAGCAACTCAAGTTTTATTTTAACTTTTTCATGCTTCTTTGTACGCAGTCGACGTCTCTTGTAAAGATGCAGAGCCTCTTTTTCTTTGTCTAGTCTATATTGCATAGCATTTGAGTTTATCAAACTGTTATTGTTCTAAAAATTAGCGACAGTTTTTGTTAAATCGGCTGAAGGTTAGCGCTCTCTTGTTTTTTTTGTCCAGTGTAAATAGCTTTCACTTTTTTACTTGTTACAATAGCATGTCTCATTTTATGCTATTCTTCAAGTTTATATTGTCCTTTTGTTGCAGCTCTAATGAACATTTGTTCTTCTTCGCCATTTTGCTGGAAGTGAAGTCACTGAAGTTCTTTCATCTGACAAAAACCCTTTAAGTTCAAACATACAAGCACCAAAATTCTTAATTGCATCTCTGATCTGAACCACCTTTACATTTACAAAATGCAGAAAACACAGAGCCTTTTGGTGAAAGTATGAATTTTAACAATAGGCGTAACCCCCGGCGAAGAGTGAAGTAAACCACTTCTGCTTAAGTATAGCATAAACACAAATTTCATGCTGAAGACAGTGGCACAAGCGTACATATCAACTGTTTCTCTCCACGTACCAGATATAATGCTTCGCTCTAGATGCTTTTCCATCGATTCGTATGGAAATAAATACGATCAAAAAGTATTAGGATTTTGTAAAAAAAATGGTTGCACATTTCACGAATGTGAGCAAAGTTTTCGTCGCATTCACGGTTTATAGCCGAAGCAACTGCTTGAAAAAGCAATTGCAGTCTCCACATACTTTACTTCTTTTGTCCCAACTGGTAACGAGCACTCATTACAACAAATAGCCTTTATAAAGAAAACAGGTGCCTTTCTCCAATGTTTGATAACACAATACAAACAAAAACTACGAAGCACAGTTTATCGAAAACCAACACACACTGACCGCCTACTAGACCAATCATCTTACAACCTTTATTACACAATGCCACCACAATCAGAACACTAACAAGACGTGCACAAATCAGATGTGATTCACCAGACGCTCTACACAACGAAAATAACGTGTTAATAAATGTCAAACGTGTTTTTGATAAAAACAACTATAACGTACGTTTCGCACATAAACAAATCACAACGCAACGACAAGCACTAACGACCATCAAAGACAAAGAACGACCCAACGAACGACAAGGTGCAGTTTACAAAATAAACTGCTCCGACTGCCACGCTTTCTACATCGGCAAGACTGGCGAGGAACTTAAACATTAGGCTTAATGAACAGAAACGAGAAACAAAACAAAACCAATCACATTGCCGAACATCGCCGACTGACAAAACACAACATTGACTTG